GTGCTAATGCTTGCATTTAAAGCTACTGCAACTCGCCAGCAACTACCAACTTAAATCTAGTGTTGAAATTTAAAACATAATTTTACTGAATTGAAAAGCTGTTTATTGGTTTTCAGTTTGCCAACAACATTAAACAGATGTGGGAAATGTTCTCCAATCATCAACTGTATTATTATGAAAATTAGGTTTCAGGAAAGAAGGCAGAGGATGTGTGTTTAACTTAAACTGTTAAAAATTCAGCCATTTATTAGATGCTGAAATGAACATTTTCAGCTTTAGTAATAGATGTATTTTCCTTTCAGTTTGGGACGACTTTGGATCCTTTATTGCTGCAAGCAAAGAATGCATTTTGAAAATGGAAATTTGAAAAAAGTGCAATCCAAAGAGAAACTCAAAAAAAAAAAAAAATTTTTGAGAGTAACTTTGCTTTTTTTCTCCGATTTTATTTTTTCTGATGTTTAGCCTACATTTTTATTCACACTACTTTCTTCTATTTTATTAATATTTTTTGTTTTTTTTTCTATTCTATTTCTATTATATTTATCAGATAGATTTTTATAAATTAAATCATTTTTGAAGTGCCTTTTACAGATCAAATTCCCTTCACTTCTGAGGCAGCTTTCCTCTTCAGTGAGGAGAGAAGATGCATTTCTATTGGTCTAAATGGACGTTAGCAACATTTCTATTGGTTAAGAGCAAGGGTATGTATTGAACTAAAAGTGAAGAGAAAGAGATTTGTGAAATTAAATTAGATAAGAATACAGTATGAAAAGAAAACATATAAGGAAAAAGGAGCATAAACATTTTTAATGATAGATGAACATGGATAATATATAGAATACTAAAATGTTTGTTTAAAAAAAACTTTTCACTTTCTTAGTTTCAGTGAACACACAATAAGCAAACTCAAGTATACAAATTTGTATATAGAGTGCTATCCATACAAAGCTGAGGTTCATAAACCACTGCTCCTCCCCTTGGATAGGGAAGGATCTGCAGTAATTCCCAACTAGATGGACAGTTAGGATGCAGTTCTTTAGAGCAGACCCAATAGTTTCAGCAGTTCAGTGATTAAAGCTGATTTATTTCACTCAACCATGACACAGCACGACGAGCAACCAATATTCACCTGTAATGAGTGAAGCAAATTAATACCACATATGACAGAAGAAAAGAAATGATGAGAACCAGGTGGAGATAATAATGATTAGGGGAACAGAAGCATAGAACCAAACAGAAAGAATGATCAAATTAGAACATTAAAGATATAACAGAAATGCTCAAAAACAGGAATCCAAGTAAAGAAACAGAAACACCCCCCAAAAGCATGACAGACTGAGAGTGTTTTTCCAGTAGAGGGCGTTTTCTTTTGCATTATATCAGACGGTGGTCCCAGTTTAAAGGAAAGCAGCTTTTATCCATCCTGTTTGGATCTACAGTATACCAATAACAGACATCTGCTTCAGACCGTTGCAAGGACACATTATCTAAGGTTAAAAACAATATACTGGACTTTGTTTCAAAGTTTCAAGGTGTTTCGCTTCCCATTTTTGTACGGACATGCAAAAGCAGCAAAAACACAAGGGAAGCACAAAGAACAGAAACACATCCAAGATGCTCTTCAAACCTGAGAATACCCTAACAGGGCGTTTGTCAAATGAGCAAAGAAATCCAAAAGACACGCAGCAGAACATAACGGTGAGAAAATTAAATGCAAAAACATCCAATATGTTGCTGGAGTAAATAATTTAAAAAAAAGAAGAGCCACAGAGAAAAATAAAATGTCAAACTTAGCCCACTGGTGAGTTGTTCTATTTTTAGAAGACTCTGAGGGAACCCATTGTGGTCTTGAGGGCCCTATTGGTGACCTGATTTAAACCCTTACTCCTCTTTCAACGGTTTGTCTGACCTGTTGGCCCTTAATGATGTGGTTTATTCTCTTTGCATGCTCTAGATTCTAGAGCATGCATCCAGCCTCAGAGGTTCTAGAGTCTAGAACCTCTGAGGCTGGAACAGAACGGCTGCATCTACAGCAAATCCAACAGAGATGGACTCTCTTTACTTCTAAGATGTCTGAGATAGTAATTACACTGCAAAAACGATCTAGAAATAAGTAAAAAATTTCTTAAATTAAGTGTATTCACCCTTAATTTGAGTAGGTAAATGAGCTAGTTTGCCAATGGAATGAGTAATTTCACTCTTAAAATAAGATAATTAGATAATATGCACTTGAAATAAGACAAAGCAATTGTTTTTTTCTTATTTTAAATGTAAATTGTCTTGTTCCATTGGCAAAGTGTCTCACTTATCTCCTCAATTCAAGACAAAATTCACTCAATTTAAGCAAAAATAACTCATACAGATTTCCATTTTTTTGCAGTGTACAAGACATTTTCACTGCAAATAAATGTATCAGTAATGTAAAACTTCCACTTTGCCTTTGGGTTATACTTTAAAAACTACAATGAATTTGTGTTTAAGGAAAACGTTACAGCCTGCTCAGTGTTACAGGTTCGATTCCCGGCCCTCTCTCCAGGTACTCCTGCTTCCTCCCACAGTCCAAAAACATGACTGTTTAGTTTAATTTGCTTCTCTAAATTCTCTTTAGGTGTGATTGTGTATGTGAATGGTTGTTTGTCCTGTTTGTCTCTGTGTTGCCCTGCGATGGACTGGTAACCTGTCCAGGGTGGACCCCCCCTCTCGCCCGTAGACAGCTGGAGATAAGCACCAGTACCCCTCGTGACCTCAGCAGGGATAAGCATGATGAAAAATGGATGGATGGAAAACTATAATTTTCTTGAATGTTTTCCAGATCCAATTTTGTCCAAAATAATGAAGTTTTTTGTGCGTTCTTTCCCTCTCTGTCTCTGCAGCTCTCAGAGCTTCTGCTGAATGCCTTAAACCAAAACCTGGTCCAGTTCACGTTGCGGCCGGGAGTCCAGGTCACCGTGTACGCTGCTCACCTGTCGGCAGGTACAGCCGTCCGCTTTCTCAGGAAGTACCTTCAGCACAAACATAAAGCATGCAGCCTTTAGAAACCCTGCAGGCTCAGTGGATAGTCAGGTTTATTTTCATATTTGTTACTGCCCCACCCCCTCTCGACTAATAACTCCACCCCTGTGTCTGATTGGCTCCCACCATGTAGCTACACAGAGACAATCAGAGACGTATGTGTGCCTCTTCCTTTTGGGGATGCTGCTACTGTCCTAAAGGGGCTTTTAAGCTAAAGAGTAAGAGAAGTCCATATATTAAACAGATTCATCACATGGGTCTCATTTCTGCTCACCGCTCATTGCATGAATCAGCAGGCTGTAAATACAGGCTGTCTAACTTCGTTGTGTCGTAAATTCCCCGCGCCGATTGTCTCCCTGTCTCTGCAGCGCCCCTGGTGGACACCAGCGAGAACCACAGTGGCTCCGCCATGCTAATGCTGCTCTCTGTAGTGGTTGCGGGTTTAGCTGTGTTTGTCATCTACAAGTTTAAAAGGTAAAGTTTTCCTGAAATTCCAAAAACAGACGACTAGTCGGCGTCTCTGACAGCCTGCAAAACAAAAGGCTGATATATGGCTGTCAAAAAAATATGAAAAAATGTGTTTCCATTCCCACATCTGAGGGATCTGGCAGACTCTTATCAGGTCATCCCCTCACCGAAAGAAATGTCAGTCAGCCTTCAGCTGCTATCAATATTAAGGCCTTTAAATAGAGGCAGCTGACCTTTCTGAAATGTTAAATCGTGTTTCCTTGCCGAGTTGTAGTTGCGAGGGAAAATCATGTGAAGGGTCACGAGGATTTATAGACTCGCTAAGGCGGAATGAAAAATTCATTAGCCTGAACAGCTCTGTCTTTTTATTTCTGTTGATTTACATCTAAATGCTGATTGACAGGGAGAAAAGATTCAGATAAAGGTTGATAAAAGTAATCTGATCAATCAGCTTCTCTCCTGGAGCTCCTCTGCTTTGATTTCTTTATTTTTTTCTCGTAGTTCAGGCTCCTCTCTGTATCCATTTGCCTCACTGTAAATCTTTCCTCAAGGAAGATCCCAGGCCTCAACGTCTATGCGCAGATGCAGAACGACAAAGAACCAGAAATGATGAGTCCAGCCAATCCCTCGGAGGCCACGCCCAGCTCACAGCAGGATTTGGTGCCTTCTCTGGAGATTCTGGACACCGAGTTTAACTCGCGGCCCATCGGTGAGAAACCGCTCCCCCTATCTGTGCCTCCCGCCACATTTCATCCCCCTCCCTGCTTTATTGTTTCACATCATTCTGTCGTTTCATTGTCGTTTCATCTCACTCATCTTTTGCTTTCTGTTGTTCCCCAGTGAAGTGGTCCAGACTGCAGGAGAACTAAACATAAAAAGTACAGTGGGCTCTCTGTGGTACGGTTAACTCGCTGTCCCTTCTTTGCTAATCTATTATCGGAGTCAATTTTGATAGAACAACAAGGAAAAAGACCTCAGTTTTCCATCATCATCATTGTAAACAGTTCAAAACTACAAGATTGGGTTAAAGGGGGCAAGGGCAGAGTAAAAAATACATAATGTTATTTATTGCAAAAGTATTAAAAGCCAAATTCACATTTTCTCCTAGCACAATCCCCTCTAAAACCTTTGTGGAACAAACATGCTTCAACTTATTCAGTCCAAATTAGCTAAAATTAATAGTCAAGATGCAGATCTATAAAGTCTGAAGGTTCATCCAGAGTTTCAAATGGGGTTTCATGGTGTTTTGCAATGTTTATTTTGAAAAAAAAAAAATGGGCGAGGCTAAATATATTTAACTTTTTCCTTGTTTATTAATCATATATTTTGACATTTAAAATGGTGGTTCCACCTGAAAAATATTTCCCTTTGCCTTTCTATCATAAAATTACAAACAATTGTATTTCCAATTTATAATTTGGGAGCTGTACTGGCTTTATTTCACATGTCATTACAGGCAGAATTTGCTCCTAAGACCCTCAGGGCTTAATGAGTTAATTGTTCTAGAATGTTTTGGGGATTATAACGATCGGTTCAGGTCCTGTCTTACAGCAGGGTTCCCGCGGGACCTTAAAAAGTCTTAAAAAGGCATTGAATTCTTCAAAATAAAATTAAGGCCTTAATTGGTATTAAAATGTCTTAAATCAGTCTTTCGTAGGTCTTAATTTTTAAAACATCATAAATAGGTTTATTTTTATTATGATTTATTTGTGTCATCTAAATAAAACATTAAAATTGACCTTTTTTTTGTATTTAAAAATAATAATGGCCTGCCATCACTGGTTTTGTCCCGATAGCGGAACCAATAAAAGCGTTGTTGCAGCCGGGACATTTGGGGGGTTTCCACCATTAATTTTTGTCTGGAAAATATGAGCAAGTGTAAATGTAACAAAAATTGTCTCCAGCCCAGAGTTTTCTCCATGGCTTAAACCAGGGA